ATTCCAAAGGATTTTTGGAAATTTTGAAGATTTTTTTTTTAAGACTACATATTAATGATTTTATGAGATTTTGCCCGATTTTTTTTGTTCTAATAAAATTTTGTGTGATTTTGTAAAATTTTATGCGATTTCAAGTGATATTTAAGGGATTTTGTGAGGTTTTGTTCAATTTTTAAAGATTTTCAGGGATTTTAAATATATCTTACAAGTTTTGCTGGACGCAGATTTTGATTAATCAACCGCTCCGAGGTTAACTCTATAAAATAATGAACACATATTTTATATCCTAATTGTTTTTTTCTACTACCGTGCGTAAAGTGCTCACTTTACGCACTAGTGCGTAAAGTAATGTCAATGACAGATGTCGACACTGTCAATTTAGTATTTTTCTGGTAAATTACTTTACGCACTAGTGCGTGAAGTATTTGTCTAAATTTATTTTTTTACACATAATTTTTTGGTAGTAGAAAAAAATTTGTATGCAATACGTGTGTAGAATGAACCTTTTTTCACAAATGTAACTTTTGACAATCACATGAGTGAAAAAAGGTGCTTTACACGCGTATTGCATAAATAACTATTGTAGGATTTTGGGAATTTTGAAAATCTTTACACGATTTTACAGGAGTTCAGAAGATTATAGATTTTCAAAATTATAGGTGATTCTGGAGAATTTTAGAGGTTTTTGGAAAGTCTTTTGAGATTCTAAATTCAAATGACAAATTTAAATGAAACAACGGAAATTCTGCAAAAATTTTTGTTAATTTTATAAAACTTCCTTAGAATTTCACTAGAAGATTTAATAGAATTCCTCGAAATTCCATTCAAATGACAAATTTGAATAGAAAAACAGAAAGTCCTAGAAATTATTTCATAATAATTTTCCGAATTTCACCATAAGATTTCATGGAATTCCACCAGAAAATTCAATGGAATTCTTGTACAAAAATTCCTCGGAATTACAGTAAAAGATTTCATGAAATTTCTCGGAATTCTACTAAAATTTTATGTAATTCGTCAGAAATTACTCAGAATTTCACTAAAATTTAATTCAATTCTTCGGAATTCCGTCGAAATCTCTCGTGGTTCCATGGAAATTCTGTTTTATTCCAAGGGAATTCTTCGGATTCCATGTAATTTCACTGGAATTCCAGAATAAGATTTCAAGGAGTTCCATGTATGTAATTCGACGAGAATTCTTTGAAATTTTACTCGACATTTCATTGAAATTTTATGTAAGTCGACACAAAGTGAAATTATATTATAATTTGATGGAAATTCTGCGAATGTTTCATTTTTTTTATTTTTTTTTTTCGAAATCCCACTGAAATTCTCCAAAATTCTAGAGAAATTCCAAATTCCATAATTTTTTTAAAACTTTACTGAAATGCCCCAAAACTTCTCCACAAAATTTTTCAGAATTTAACTGACATTTCCTGTAATTTCTTAAAAATTCTTCGGAATTTCACTAAAATTTTATGAGAATTTTTTGAAATTTTTAATTCCACGTTATTAGTCGAAAATTTCTCGAAATTCCAATGAATCTTCAATTTTTTTTTCAAAATTTCATTTATTTCCATAAGATTTTTTCGGAATTTCATTGAATTCTCTTTCAATAGTCAGGAATTTCCGGGAATAATGAAACTTCAAGTAATTTCTTGAAAATTCACCCAAATTCCTCCGGAATACATTGAAATTTCATGGGAATTTTTCCAAATTGCACCGAAATTCTTCGGAATTCCATTTGTGAAATTTTCTCTAATTTCACTAAAATTTAGTAATTCGATGGGAATTTTTCGGAATTTCAATTTCACTAAAATGTCATGTTTTTAACTGGAAATTCCTTGGAATAAAAATAAAACTTTATGAAATTACATTTGATTTTTTTCGGAATTTCACTTGAATTCCTTATGAAACGATAAGAGTTGTTCAAAATTCCACTTAAATTCCATGTAATTCCCTGACAATTCCTTGGAATTCCATGCAATTGCATTAGAGCTTCATCTAAACTACTCAAAACGAAATAAGAACCACTTTTGAGAGCACCTTGATTTTTATTAAATTTTGAATAGCCCTGGTAAAGTGATTATTTCCATTTACAATATAGATAAAAGAATAAAGTGTGCATAGAAAATTTAAACTGTGAATGGAGATAAACATTTCACCAGGGTTATTCAAAATTCAATAAAAATAAAGATGTCTTTGAAAGTGGTCATTATTTCGTTTTGACTAGTTTAATTCGCCGAAAATTCCTCGGAAATTATGTAATTTTTTGAAACTTTTTAGAAATTCTTTATGTAATTGAACGAGCACTGAAATTTCATGTTGGGAATTTCGGTGTAATTTAATGTAATTTTTTAGAATTCCTTCATGCAACTCATTCAGGATTTCATGTAATTCGATTGAAATTCCACTGAAGTTTCTCGAAATTTCATGTAATTCGAGAGTAACTAAAATTAAATTTCACACCATAAAATTCAATGCATTTCTTGGGATTTTTTTTCTTCGGAATTACAATATAAGATTTCAAGAAATTCTTCGGAATTCCACTAAAATTTCAAGTTATTCCATAGGAATTCCGCGAAAATTTTAAGTAATTCCATAAAAATTCCTTCCAGAAGATTTTATGGAATTTTTAGACAATTTTTTTTTCGGAATTACAGTATAGGATTTCATGAAATTCCTCGGAATTCCACTAAAATTTCAATTTCAAAATTTCATAAAAATTCCATAATTTTCTTTTTTTAACTTAACTAACCAAAATTTCACTACTGAAATTCCACAAAATTTTCATAAAATTCTTCGGAATTTCATTGACATTTCATGTAGTTTCTTAAAAAATTCTTCGGAATTCACTAAAATAAAGAAAATAAAATAGCCGAAGATTTCTCGAAAGTCCAATAAAACTTCAAGGAATTTTTCAAAATTTCATTTATTTTCATAAGAATTTTTCGGAATTACACTGAAATTCTCTTCCAATAGCCAGGAATTTCTGGGAATATTAATGAGACTTCAAGTAATTTCTTGAAAATTCACCGAAATATATTGAAATTTCATATGGGAATTTTCCGGAATATCACCGAAATTCCATGTTTTTAGCCAGAAATTCCTCGGCAAATTCCACAACTGGAATTTTACTAGAATTCAGAAAGAACTGAAATTTCATGTTGAGAATTTCGGTGTAATTTCATATAATTGTTTAGAATTCCTCCATGCAATTCATTTAGGATTTCGTGTAATTCGATCGGAATTTCACTGAAATTCCATGTCATTCGAGAGGAACTAGAATTTAATGTGAATTCTATGGAAACTCCGCAAAAATTTCACATCTAATTCCTTTTTCAAAATTCTACCAAAATTTCTTGAAATTCCACTAAATTATGGAATTTTGAGAGACTTTAACAGATTTTTGGAGATTCCAAAGGATTTTTGGGAATTTCAAAGGAAATATATTTTAGGAATGTCTATGAGATTTTGCAGGATTTTTTTGATTTGAATGAAATTTTAAATTTTGTTAGATTTTGTAGGATTTTATGCAATTTCAAGAGATTTTGTTAAATTTTTAAGGATTTCAAAGTTCTTTAGGGATTTTTAGTAGATCTTATGAGATTTTCTGGGATTTTGACCAACTTGTACACGGATTTTGACCAGCTAACCACCTCTCGGATAATACCTATAATTTCATTTTTTTCATCATAAAGTGCGACTCCAAAATAAACGAGAAGTTGCTTTTGTGTGGCGCTGAAGAAGGCAAATATTATTATACAATTTAGTCTGTTTTCGGTCGATTTTCCTAAAAAAAATGCTAATATTACTGGCCAAACACCAAAAACCAAACCCGGAGTTTTTACGATAATCCCCAAGAATAGTTTCCGCATTTCCGAGCGTCGCAAAATTCATGCAGTCGAGTCGCCATCGTAATAATTTATTTTCTACGTATTCGGTTTCGCGAGCGAACCAAATCCCTCAGCGATATGGGAATGCTTATGCTAAATATAAGAGAATCTTGTGCAAGGCCTTTTTAAGCGAGAGATGAAATTTACATTTTGGTAATAGTTGCACACATACATTTTTACGAAAGTAGGAAAACGAATATAGCAAACAGCTGCTCGAGTTCGGCAAAAAATGCCAGAAGGAGACATATTGATAGGGTTGCGCTGTCCAGTTTTGGAATTGAAACTGAATAAACAATTACTCAAATTCAGGAATTGAATTTTAATTTTTTCTTCAACCTCTTTTCTATTAGCTAGGAAAAATACAATAGAGAACCTGAAAAAATAAATAATCTGCTGGAACAAGATTTATTCGTTTTTAAAATGTACGATATATTTATAGAAAGACAATGAAAAGAACAAAAAAACATCTAAGGTTCAATTTACACGTAAAAGCTGTAGAAAAGGCGACGCCGGTTTATTCGAGATAATAAGTGATCAATCAAAGAGACAGAATAGCAGCTTGAAAGGAGACAATGAGAAAGGTTTGCCGTTCGTCGGCTTTTTATACTCATCAGCCCAAAAGGAAATGTTAATATTGTAGATAAGCACATATTGTTTTTTAGTATTTAATAATTATTATATTTATGAAAAATACATGAGCTGCGTTTTTTCCAGAAGAAATGAAAAATAAAGAGCTTCTTGCCTTGAGAACTCCTTACCTACCTCATAAACAAAGAATTATTTCAAAAATGAAAAGAAATTAAGTATTTGTCAAAGAAATAAACTTCTTACAATATACCTAAGTTCGAATAGTTCTCATGTGAATGCTATAAAGGAATATTTCGAGAAAATATAAACCGCGCTGAAATATCATAAATAAAAACTTCTTTTTATATTCTATGCATAAAACCCTTCTAGTCAAACTACACAATTCAAAAAAAAAAAAACCTTCCTCAACAAACAGATGCGAATCGTATAGTATTGTATTATGGCGCTTGCGTCTCGCAAGTTCTACAGGATTTTCGGACGGTTTTGCCTGCAGTCTCTCACTTTTCCTTGTGAGTCTGACAGCTTTCGGCTTTTTCGAGAGAAATACGCGCGTGACAATAATCAGTGCGTATTTACTTATTGTGCTTAATTTGAAAAAAACAATAATTATTTTCGAATACATAGTGTAACTTGAAAATTAAACCAAGGCAAAAATGAACCTTGTTTGTGGATTTTTCTTAATAGTTCTGATGTTCTTTCCCCAAGCGAAAACCAGAAGTAACTTCAAGGATAATGAAGGTCTGTAATTTTTTAAAATTTTTATTACCATAGTCTATAAAATTGCATTATTTGAAAATTATTATTTCTTTATGACTTTGAGTTTTTTAGAATCGGGTTGTACGATTTTGCTAGTGATTTGACTGCATTTTGCTGGTGGCACTTCTTACGCGTATTACTTGACTAAATTAAAACACTACTAGTGATTTTCAATGACTATATTTAGAAGAACAAGTAATAAACTAAACAATTGCGTAGGTAGGTACTAAAGTGACCGTGCATGTTATCTGTGTTATCGATCTAGAAGCTCTACCCGACAGCCTAAGTTGGACCCTTCATTCGCACTGGTTATACAATGTTGCCACGTTTAGTACTATTACCTAATATATACGGAATACAATATTTTGAAAACAATACATTTCCCCCGGCTTTGAAAGTACCTAGCTCACAGGATATAAAATACTTTCAATAAATCTAAATCTAAACATAATATATCCATTATGCAAAATCAAAAGATAAACATGGAAAAATAATAGTAAAAAAAAAAAAAAAAAATTATAAGTAATAATAATTTCTCAAATATTTAAATGAATAAAAAATCAAAGTAAGTTCCAAAATGTTCATTAGATTTTCTTAATATCAAGAAAAACTGCACTCGCTGATAACCGCGTCATGTCTTAGCTGTTTACACCTCCACACTCCACACCGAATCGAATTACAATTCACAAAACAGAGTTTATCGGCAACGGGCACAATTTAGAAAACGAGCGCTTGAGTGTTCCACTTGAAGTTTTCAGCGTCGCCACTCGCGCGACTCCATCAGCACCAGGATGCAATATTAGAACTCGCCCCAGACACCATTTTAAAGGAGGCTGATGTTCCTCTTTGATGAGGACTAGATCGTCCACCTTGAGAGTGTAAGTTGATTTCAACCATTTTTGTCGCTGCTGCAGCTCGGAGATGTACTCACGGGACCATCGCGTCCAAAAGTTTTGCTGCAGCTGTTGGATTTGCTGGAAATAGTCTAGACGATTTGTAGGAATGCTTGTCAGATCAGGATCGATTGCGGATGTAATTGCCCGTCCAATGAGAAAATGTGAGGGTGTAAGAGGAGACAATTCGGATGGGTCAGTGGACAATGGAGATATTGGTCTTGAGTTCAACACAGCCTCGATCTGAGTCAACAGAGTACTAAACTGTTCGAAAGTAAGAGTTGCGTTTCCTGCTACGCGCTTTAGGTGGTGCTTTGTGGACTTGACGCCCGCTTCCCACAATCCGCCAAAGTGGGGAGAGTGGGCAGGTATGAAGGACCAGGTTATGCCTTTATTTTCAATGACCTCTGTGAAGATTTTGGCATTAGATTGAAGAAATTCACCCAAAGCTCTTAACTCTGAATTGGCGCCGATAAAATTTGTTCCATTATCAGAGTACATCATATTAGGTTTACCGCGTCGTGCAATAAATCTCCTTAGTGCGGCAATGAAAGAATCTTTTGTGAGATCTGACACTAGTTCGAGGTGGATAGCTCGAGTCACAAAGCAAATAAAAAGAGAAATATAAGCCTTTGTGATCTTACAACCCCTTCCCTTTCTATCTTTAACATGAAATGGGCCGGCATAGTCAACGCCGGTTGTGAAAAATGGTGGAGCAGGATTAAGTCGATTTTTGGGTAAATTTCCCATAATTGGTGCAAAAAATCGAGGTTTAACCCTGAAACATTGAACGCATTTAAAAACAGTATGTTTTGCTAAATTTCGTGCAGATATTGGCCAAAAACTCTCGCGTATTGAAAAAAGTAGTTGTTGTGGACCGGCATGGAGCAGTCGCACATGCTCTCTTTCAAATAGAAGCTTAGTAAAATAATGTTTAGCCGATAATAAAATTGGATGCTTTTTTGAGTAGGGAAAATTTGAGAGCTCAATTCTACCACCCACTCTCATAATATTATTCTCGTCAAGAAATGGAGAAAGCTTGGCAATTTGAGTGTTATCTAAATCGCTTTCTTCTAAAAGAGCCTGTATTTCCCTTCCAAAGGAATCTAGTTGAGATAGTTTAGCTAGAGTGAGGGATGCCTTTAATACTTCTTTACAAAGTAAAGGACCGCAATATCTCTTCTCTTTATTTTTGAGGCAGTTTTCTTTAAAACGAAAGCAATATGCCACGACTCTTTCTAATCTATCTAAATCGGAATATTTTTCAAATTCTGAATAATCGGCAGTTTGCACACACGCGCGAACAGCTTTGCGCATTTCCGGTAGTTCTGTCTCAGCAGGATATGGCAAAACAGGCCAAGAGGATTCATTTTCAGATAACCAAGGTGGCCCTTTCCAATATATTTCGAGTGAACATAAAACGCCAGGCATAACACCCCTGGAAACGTGATCGCAAGGATTAGTAGAAGTGGGCACGTGACGCCAATCGGCATTATCGGTTGACTCCTGAATCCTAGCTACACGGTTTGCAACAAATGTCAGTAGAAGGTTAGGTGTGGTCTTAATCCAACCCAATACTGTTGTGGAGTCACACCAAAGAATAATGCGATCTATGCGTATGCTTAAAGACGATTTCACCTTTTCCATGAGTTGAGTGAGTAACAATGCGCCCATAAGTTCTAATTTGGGAATAGGTTGCGTCTTAGCTGGCGCGACCTTGGATTTTGAACATACTAAGGAAACTTTGATCCTACCATCGGAATCTTCGCAAGTAAACAATTGCACCGAAAGCTTGAATGCTAGCGTCTGAAAACCCGTGAAGTTCTGCGCTGATATAATCTTTACAGGTTACCTGGCGTTCAACTTCCAAATCGTTAAAAAAGCATAATTCGTTACGAAACTTAAGCCACCGGGTATGCAAAGAAGTTTGGAGACCTTGATCCCAAGAAAGATTTTCAGACCATAAGTCTTGTAATAGGATTTTCGCTAGAATAATGGAGGGACTTAAAAGGCCGAGAGGATCAAAGATTTGCGACGTTTCGGATAGAATGGTTCGTTTGGTAACTTGTTTGCTGAATGATGAAGCAATGTTATAAGTCAAAGAGTCAGACTGTGCGCCCCAAATTAAACCAAGAGTTTTTGTGCTCTCGTGAACACCGAAATCTACCATAGAAACACTATCTTGGGTTTGAATGCCTGCTAGAACTTGGAGTGAATTGGAAACCCATTTTCTCAATATAAAACCACTCTTTTTTAACGTCTGAGAAACATTGTTAGCAATATCAGTAGTTTCTTCCACTGAATCACTTCCGCTCAAAAAATCATCAACATAAAAATGATCTTTAATTATCGTAGAGATTTCAGGGTCAGAACAGTCTAAGCCTACTTGATAGAGACATCGTATGGCCAAATAGGATGCCGAGGAGGTACCGTAAGTTACTCTGGCTAGCTCATAAATTTCTATAGGATTGTCAGGGTGCTCACGCTATAAAATGCGTTGTAATGGCCTTTGTTCGGGGTTGATAAGACACATCCTATACATTTTCTCGATATCTCCAGCGACAACAAAATTATACTATCTAAAACGGATCAGTGTAGAAATAAGATCAGGTTGAATAGTGGGTCCCACCATCTGGATATCATTGAGAGAGTACCCACTGTCTGTGGGGCTAGATGCATCAAAGACAACGCGCAATTTGGTAGTTAGACTACTTTCTTTAACTACCCCGTGATGTGGTAAATAATACGCGATTTGCGTGCTATCGTTTTCGGATATTTTGGACATATGTCCCAAGGCTATATATTCGTTAATGAATTTACAATATTCTGCTTTGAAATTGGGGTTCTTCTTGAACTTACGCTCTAAAGATAAAAACCGTTTTTTGGCAGATTCATATGATTTCCCTAATACTTCGGGATTTTCTTTGAGTGGGATGGTAACTATAAATTTTCCATTGGCGTGACGCTGCAAGTTTTCTGTGAAATGGGCCTCGCAAAATTTCTCTTCTTGAGAAAGGGGTTTTGAGGTAAAAACCTGCTCAACCTCCCAAAAACGTGTGAGCAGTTTATCTATATCTGAATTTGTGGAGAGATTGCAGCGAACGCTTGAAATACTGCCTAGAGATACAGAACCCGAAATGATCCATCCAAGTTTACTATTCTGTAAAACAGCGCCCTGATTTTTAAGTTTTATTTGACCCACATGCATTAAATTCCAAAAATGTTCTGCCCCTAGGAGTAAGTCAATTTTGCCAGGAATATTAAATTTAGGATCAGCCAATTGAATATTGTTAGGTATATCTAGAGAGTTAATGTCGACAGCAAAATTTGGCAGAGTACCAGTGATCTCAGGGACTACTAAACACGAAATGTTTGTATTGAAATTATTGTATCGAGACTGAATGCGTAGAGAAGTTTTATATTTTACATTGGACTCGGTTTGATTCAAGCCACAAACCCTAATACTGATATCCAACAATTTTAATCCTAATTTGCTAGCCAACTCTGATGTTATGAAACTGCTTTGGCTTCCGCAATCTAATAGAGCGCGAGCATCATAGGCCTTATTGTTTTGACCAAAAACCCGAACCAAAACCGTGGATAACAAAACTTGAGTTCCATAATGTAGGTCATTTCTAGAGGAACAAGATATACTACTGTTTTGATCCTGTGGTTCTGTATTCGAAGGTTCAACCCTTTCTAGGTGCAAAGCACTGTTATGTCAACCTTTGCAATGCCTGCAAGAACCTGAACGACATTGCTTGATTAGGTGACCTGACCGAAGACAATTTATACATAGTTTCATATTTTTAACTTGGGTTAAACGATCGTTGACGGCTAATTTTAAAAACTCGGGACAATCCTGTACAAAATGGTCTTTTTTGCAATAAGAGCATTGTGCTGGTGAGCTTACAAGAGATCGTGTTTTATTTTCAAATTTATGTTTCATAATTTTGTTGTGAAATTTACTGTTCTCGAGAGTTTCCAATAAATCTGCACGATCTTTCAGAAAATTATGCAAATGTTCGAGGGTAGGTTTATCGTACGAAGCCCTTTTTTCTTCCCACTCGCGAGATGTGGTGTGATCCA